GGCCACAGTAACCAGTACAGAGGGCACATAATGGGCATGAGTGCTGGGGGTATCATTTCCAACTGGCAGCTTATGAGCCAGCCAGGAGAGGGGTTGCTGGCCCAGTTGCGTCCTTCATCTAACTCCCACTCAGCTTCCCCTCCCCACAAGCAGAGCCCCCGCTATCTTGTACTCACTCCTAGCATTTGCATCTTGATGGATAGGAATGGAAAGGAAAGTTAACAGATTCCAGAAGAACTCATTTTATCATTCATTTCTAATGAATTGAATTCAAATTGAAATATCTTGCTGGAGGGCAAAAAGAAAGATGAAAACAAGCACGGGCCTTGTCAGCAGCGGGCGTTTCTGCGCACAGTGTGAGCCAGTGTGAGCCTGTGCAGGCTGAAGCTGAATACCAGTCCACGCTCCCTGGGAGACTTAGAAGTGAGCCTGTGTCCAACTGTCCACACTGCTGAGGGCTATGTGTGTCAGTCCTCCTCACAGTAAGTTGCAGGCCTAGCTCCTAAAACAGGCCATTCTACGGGCTGAGGAGATAGCTCTGCGCCTGCCTGGCAAGCTCAAGGTCCTAAGTTCAATCCTCAGCACCGCAAAAAATAAATAAAGCAGGCCATTCTAAAGCAGTTGACGCCTGTCTTTTAACCCATAAGACACCTCCTGTGGGTGCTTGTGTGAAGTGAAAGGAAAGACCTAGGCTCCCGGAAGCTCACTCTAAGGCTTGGTGTCAGGGGACCGTTGCTGCTTTCTTTCTGAGAACTTAACCAATTCAAGCATGCTTTTCAAAGAAAAATTTCCTCTTCCTGCCACTTCATGGCAACCGAATCCCAATAAATTATTCATTGTGTTGTGTCCATAAATCTTGGGAAGGCCATAACTATGAGACATGTGCCATGTGTCGAGCATTTTCCTAGGCCTGGGCATTATTCTCTTTTTAAGCTTTTGTCCCATTTTCACAGGTAAGAAAACTACGCTCAGGTGAGGGTACAAGGTAGATCATAGATCTCCTACGTTGCCAAACAAGAGTGTGTGTCGGGGCCCATGTGGCCCTGCACTGTCCTCTGCCCGCCACACTCTGAGCAGCAGTGGTGGCCCATGACCCTTTGTGTGAAAGAGGCCCATCTCCCTTCTTGCAGCTCTCACTTGTTACTCAGCAAAGAGAAGGCTCCATTTGCCTAAAGCTGTTGCTCAAATTGTAGCCAGCTTGTTCGTGGATGATTTTTTAAATAGCATAGCTATTTATTTCCCAACTAAAGCTTAGAGGGATTAAGTAGTTTATCCCAAATGCCATAGTTAGCAGAATCCTAAATCTTGGCAGATTAAAGCCAATCCTTGCTAACACCTCAAGCATGTGGATTGGACGGCTCTGTGACATTTAAGAGAAAATAATCTGTACTTTGTGCACTGTTTGGAGGAATTGTTGTTTTAAAATCAGAGCAGTGTTGATGATTTCACTTAAGTGTGGAATCTAAAACAGTTGGTCTCATAAAATTGGAGGCTAGAACGGTGATTCCCAGGGCCTCGGGCGAGGCGGCAAGGTGTACGCTGCTTCAGTTAGGTAGGCGGCAAGTTCCGGTGTGCACAGTAGGGTAAGGGCACTGTGTAACTGAAAATAGCTGGCAGGGAGAATGGAGACTGTTTCTCCCCAAAGAAATGGTAAATGTTTGACGTGATGAATATGCTGGTTGCCCTGACATCATAACAGTACAGATATATTGAAATACCATACTGTATGGTTACGATGTGCCAATTATGATATGATACAGAATGTAAAAGAGAAGAAATTGGTTTTTTACTAATTATAGCCATCTGTCCTAAAGTATAATGTGCTTTTTTTGGGTTTTGTTTTGTGTTTTTGAGACCAGGTCTCAGGTAGTGCAGGTTGGCCTTGAACTCACTGTATAACCCAGGCTGTCCTTGAACTCATGGCGATCCTCCTGCCTTAGCCTCCCAAAGGCTGGGATTACAGGCATGCATGTCAAGCCAATAATGTGCTTTTGTTTTGTTCATCTCCTTTTAGGAGCTCCCTGTATTTATGTGTATATTTCATAGAAATGTAATCTGGGCAGAAACAATGGTATTTCTTGTCAGTGACTCCATTTATTTTGGTGGAATTTTTCAGTGCTATTATATTGTCTTCATAACGTACATCATCTTGATTAACTACGGCTTCCTTAGCCTTTAGTTCGTTGCTAAGTTTCGGTCTCGTACCCCCGACTCTGCCCACCACCCTCCGCAGCCCGGAATTTAACACCATCTCTGGTTATGCTGAGGAGAGCCGTCTGAAATTGACCCCGGATAAGATGGGACTGAAGCCACACAATAGTGGCGTGGATTTTAAAAGTTGAATTGTATCAGGGGACTGTCTTTCTTCCTTCAAAACACAGAGCACCGTCTGTTTTGTACTGCTCTGAGCTTTGCCAAGCAGTGAGACGTGGCTGCTGGGCGTACCTTCTGCTGCTGTTCACACCAGACGCCCGGCTGCCACCGTGCTCTGGAAACAGCGGTGCTGACTGACATCCCTATCACTGGGACTTAAAGCAGTTTACGCTGGTTGCCTAGACTACATCTCCGCTGTGTGCTTTGTGTGTTAGGTCAGGGCTGACAGCACTTAAAAATAAATCAGCCAGGTAAAGGCAAACATTAACCCTTTCTCCAGAGCTTGCTCTTATTTTTTAAGTAGATGAATTAGAGCAGAAGCAATAGGATGTGCTGAAACTGTATTTTCTGAACAAGTGGGTGGGCAGTGTATTGAGGTCCCCGCATTGTGGAGAATCCAGGTTTCTCCTCAGCTTATCTTCACCTGGCTGATAGACTCAAGCTCTTCTGCTGATTCCCACTGCCCTGCTCTTCAAGAGCAGGTATCCTCTAATAATTTTGTCTTCAGCACTCAAGAAATGTGTCCATTACCACAGCACTGCACAAAGGACCCAGGAAGATAAACAAGCAAGGGGGCTGGTGTCTGCCTTTAGGGGTTACAAACTAATGGAAAGAAGGGCAGCTTGAAAGGTAACACTTTACGTACTATATGAGTTCCATGGGGCAGGTGAAAGCTTAGGGCAGAAGAGCTTCCAGTGAATGGACAGGCAGGAGAAGTTCCATGGAATGCATAGACTGAGGTAGGCTTTCAAGTTTGGACTCACTAGAACAAAATTCAAAACCAGTTCATTGGGTTGAGAAGGAAGCAATGTATAAGTGCCTGGTTTCCTGAGCTTGCACTGTGGTCTTAAGGAAGGCGGACAGTCAATGAGGTCATTTCAAGGAGTAGCCCAGTGGGGTGAGCCTACGGTGTGTAGGCTGCAACGCAGCCAGCTGTTGGTCGTCATGGAGAGCTCTAAGAAGTTCACCATCACTGAAGTAGGCAAAGCAGCGGATACATGGAGAGAGTTTTCCAGCCCTAAGGAACAGCAGGTGTGGAGACCCTGAAGCATCAGGAGCCAGAGACTGGGGATTAGAGAGAAGGCCCTGTCCTCCCAGGTCTTTATTCCAGCATCTTGTCACCAGGGGCCATTCAGCCTCCACATCCGCTTTATTTTTCATATTGGTATTTATGACTTCGTATGTTATGTTGATTTGTTCGTTTTGTTTGCCGTCTCCAACCACATCATAAACTCCAGAAGATTTGGGGCCTTGTTTCATTTATTGTTGCATCTCTGAATACCTAAAACCACACTGGAAGCATGGTGAATGCTTAACAAATGCATGTATGGCTGCACAGATCATCCAGGGGTCTGAGCAGACAGAGAAGGAATGAAAGACACCAGCTTCAGGGGAGAGTCACAACAGAGGGGAGAGGAGGCCACGTGGTAGAGGGGTACTGAGCAAAGTCTCTGCAAGACCGATAAAGGCCAGATGCTTAGGAGCAGAAGGGGTCATCTAGGAGAGCCCTGATTGGAAGTTGGAGAGAGCATCAGCGCTCACTGCACCTCGTATACCAATCCTTCCTTTTATTCGTCTTCCTGAATTAGTTGAAGACTTACAGTACTCTGAGGCCCTGTGGCACTGAGGCAGGAGATTAGGGACTGGCAGGTTGGCTGGAGAACAGGGCATTACCTGAACCAGAAAGGAAGCTAAACAGGATGTGACGCATGGATCACAGCTGGGGTTTGTGGGTGGAGCAACTTCCAATGGACCAGATCTGAGCAGTATACAAGACAGTGCCCACTGACCTCACCACCACTGGGAGCTTCCTTTCCTGCTGTCTGCTGTTTCTGCAGTGGGCTGCCCCACATGCAGGATGTATAATATTGCTTTACCCTTTACCTCTCCTCTTTGATTTTAAATTACAATTTGTGCTGACCTGTTCACTGGTTGCCTTGGCTAAACCTTTTGGTGGGACAAAAAAACCGCCAGATATTGAACCATCTGACAATAATACCAGAGATATAAAGGAGGAATTGAGTACAGTGTGGCATTTTATTTTGGAAGGAACAGCAATTCATCTTTAAGATTTGAAAGGACCAAGCTGCAGGTATAGCTCAGTTGTTTGAAAGCTCTGCGAAGCACTTGCCTAGCATGCAAGAGACCGTGGGTCCATCCATAACACCACACATGCACACACACACACACACACACACACACACACACACACACTTGAAAGGCAAGAATCAAATAAAAACATAGAGCACTGAATTATTTAGACACCGACATTTATTATGTGTGTCCCTAACTTTTCTTTGTTGCTTACAGCATTAACATTGACTTCTGGTAATTTGTTTAAAGATTAGAGTTCTGGGAATTATGTTTGAAGCACTAATGTAGATTGATGTGTATATATTTATATAACTGACACAATTAAATAATTATAAAGGATTAAGGTAGTGATTGATAAATGAGCTCCATGTAAACATACAGAAGTTGATTCATAAGCATTTAATGAAAAGACTCTATAAAGATCATAGAAATCCTCATGCCTATCCTGGAAAAAATGTATTTGCCCATGCGTGTGCCTCTTTGCACTTGGCAGGAAGACAGCATATTGTATTTTCTCATTTTTTTCTCCTCAGGAATAATTCCGGCTAATGGGAAGATGGATGTGACCATAAAGTTCACCCCCTTTCAGTATGGCACTGCACAAATCAAAATGCAGTTACGGATTTCACAGTTCAACTCTCAGCCGTATGAATGCATCTTCACCGGGACGTGCTATCCCAACCTGGCCCTACCGTATGGCTTCTTTGGAATTTTTTTTGTTTATTTACAAGGCTTTTCAAAATCCAAACCTTCCTTCCATTCTGTCACTCTTTCTTGTAACAGAATGACATCCAAAACTTGTCTTAAATGATCAGCCGATGTAAAGTATGTTTTAAAGTATGACACCGGTGCAGAGAATGCCCCGTGCTGGAAGAACTGCTTTTGCCAAGAGGGAAAAGAATGACTGAGGAAAGGGATTTAGCAGCTGGAGAGATTGGTCAGCGGCAGAGCACTGGCCTTGCATGCACCCAGCACTGGGTTTCGTGGGGTGGGGGCGGGGATTTTACATTTTTGAGCCCCACTTTCTCCTGCTGATTACTGCTGGTGTGCTGCACATTTTTAACCATATGCGTACAGTACTGCCAATTAAATCATACAAGGCCAGAATCACTGAACTATTTTTAAAGTTTCCATATGATGTTGCAATTAACTGAGTGCCTGCTTTGTGCAGCATCTGTCGCAAAGTCCTGTGGGGAAAAGCCCACTCCCTGAAGATGCCAAAGTGAGTCAGGGACAGCAAGTGTTGTCACCCAAGGCAGAGAGGGAAGGATGCCACACAAGGGGGTGTTTTTGAGTGAAGATAGGCAGTAGGATTAAGTTTTACTATAGAGCAAACCCTGGACTTTTGTTTCCATTTGAATATGAGCTTATATATTTACATTCCAGTATTTCTGGCTAATATGATATGTTTTTCTGGGACCAGGAAGATAGCTCAGTAGAATAAGCGCTTGCCTGGCAAGTGCAAGGGCCTGAGTTCAATCCTTGGTTCCTCAAAAAAAAAATTTAAAAAAAAAACCCTGCTAAAATGTTTTTCCTGATATGCATGGTTTTTATACAATAAACAGAAACCAAAAGTGACAACAATATAAGTACTAAGCTTGGAAGAGCCTGACAGCTATTTCAAAAGTGATAGTTGGATTTTTCTCCCTCTTCCCTTCGCACGTGGACGCATATCACACATTAACATCATTAAGCTCATTAAAAGTGGAGAAACAATCTTAGCCTTAAAAATGAACTAAAGCCATGGTTTATAATGCATTTGTATCAGAATTTTCTTCCTAAAACTTCAAAATAGCCTAAGTCAATAAGCAGATATTAGTGTGGGCTGTTAAGCCCAAATCAACCAAGTTACCACTGCAGAAGTAAAATCACTTAGGCAGGAAATCAACAGAAATACTATAAATAAAGAACAGTGCTAATTTTTCTAGTGTCAGATCACTAGGCAGACAAGATGCAACTTTGTGTCTTCTGTGAAGTGTTGCCACATTCAAGTGAATTTTTCAGAGATGCCACTCAAATGGGGTTGTAGTTTTCTATCCCCCATAGATACTATTTTTTATTTTACTTTTTCTTTGTGGATGATGAGGACAGAAGCCAGAGCCTTGCAAACGCTAAACACTCACCTACACTGAGCTACGTGCCCATTGCAGATGTATTCTTCTTTCTTTCTTTTTCTTTCTTTTTTTTTTTTTTTTTTTTTGGAACTGGGGATTGAACTCAGGCCCTTGCACTTGCCAGGCAAGCGCTTATTCTGCTGAGCCATCTCCCCAGCCCCAGATGTGTTCTTAAACACACAAGTGCACCATGTAGTAGAAATACTATCCCAACCACAGGTGGATACTATTTCTAAGCTAAGATGTTTTGCTTTCCTGGCTGGGATCTAATATTTTTTGTTTTTAATGAGTGCATCTCAACACTTGCATGTCTCCCCAAACTCCAAATAATACTACAACGTACAGAATTCACCATGAAGGGAACATCACTGTGCTAGCTGTGCTCCCTGATCTGTTCCTGCACTGCTTTCACAAGTCCTAACTTTGGCACTGGCAAATTCCGTGTGTAACTCTGGTTTCCTATGTGCTTAGCCACACTTATTTCCTTCCCCAACACTAGCAATTAAAGGTGTTTATGAAGATGTTTTTGACCTCCCCAGAAGGCTTTGCTATTCCCTGGTACTCGCAGCAAGGGTGCTGCCAAAGCCCTGCTGCCAAGTGGATGCTGAAGCGCGGCTCGTCCGTGGCTGCGCCTCCTCCCTGCGTGCGCAGCACGCCAGTCACTGTGTGTCTAACCACCGTGGCATCACCGCGTTCCATAGATGCTCTTGCAGGGGAGGCTGTTAGGTGTGTGACAGCACATTATGTGCTCTTCACCTGGAAAACAAGCACACACACATTATTTTTAAAAGAATGTTCCATGGGGGGTGGGGAGATAGCTCAGTGGTCTAAGCACCTACCTGGCAAGCACAAGAACGTGAGTTCAATTCCCAGTACAGCATGTCATGTCAGCCACTGAAACCAGGTGTGGTGGCTCATGCCTGTAATCCCAGTGCAGGGGAGGCTGAGCCAGGAGGATAATTACGAGTCTGAGCTGTGTAGTGAGACCCTGTACCAAATAAATAAATAAATGATTTCAAACATTGAAAAAAGAATTCTATGTATCAATACTTGATAGAAAATACCTATTCCGTGTTATGCCTAAGATGTTTGACATTCAGACAGACAGGTTAAACCCAACTGTATATGTTGTAGGGTAATAATAAGCTTCTCTTCTGGAGGGTTAACAACTAAAGTTTGCTGACCAAAAATTAGAGAAAAAGAAGGGCTGAGAGGTCAGCCAACATTTTGGCCCTATCCTTTCAAGGTCATTGAAGACTCAGGACATAAGAAAACCTATACTGTAACATCATATAACTCAGTTGTGTCCCAAATTTTCTGATCAAGGAAATTATGGGACCACAGAGGAATGTCATCGACGATGTAGGGTGTGCCTAAGGAGAGTCACATGGAGAAAAAACATTCTCTCAAGCTTTCACAGAAAGCAAATTGGTCAAGCAATGGCTGTGACTCATCCACGTGGCTAACACTGACAAAGGATCTACAAACTTCAGTACAGGGTTTCA